AAAGTAAAAGCACTTATTCGTGTTTAATAACAACTCTAGTTGAGAATTAACACAAGATTTAAGAGATAAAGAAGAGTTTCAGCATGTGTACTGTATTTACACTCTATTCATATGTACAACAGAGAGGGCTGAGATCGGTCAGATCCGGTCCACGTTCCTGATGGCGCCGTCCACCGTCAGCGAGCCAAACCTGAAACACAGGAGATCAGTGTGTGTGTCTGTGTGTAGGAGTGAGTTCAGGTGTGTATGTGTGTGTGAGGAAGCTTCACCTCTCCAGGAACAGGTTGTTCTCGCCAGCTCCTTCACCACTCCCTCCATCTCCTCCTTCAGCTTCTTCATCCTGTGGGCAACAGACACGCATCATCCTCTCTGATCACACGGCTATATCCAGGGCTGGAAATTAACCTTTTTACTCACCGGCCAATTCAGCTAAAAAATGTTCAAGTTACCCGCCATTCAGAATTTACGGAAGCCCTGAACCACAGCGAAAAAAAAAAAAAAAAATATTCTAACATTTTGACTTCTAACATAATCTCGCAATGTTTCGTCTTTAATCTCGTAATATTTCGTCTTTAATCTCGTAATGTTTCGTCTTTAATCTCGTAATGTTTCGTCTTTAATCTCGTAATGTTTCGTCTTTAATCTCGTAAAGTTTCGTCTTTAATCTCGAAATGTTTCGACTTTAATCTCGTAATGTTTCGACTTTAATCTCCAAATGTTTCGTCTTTAATCCCGTAATGTTTCGACTTTAATCTCGCAATGTTTCGTCTTTAATCTCGTAAAGTTTCGTCTTTAATCTCGAAATGTTTCGACTTTAATCTCGTAATTTTTCGACTTTAATCTCCAAATGTTTCGTCTTTAATCTCGTAATGTTTCGTCTTTAATCTCGTAATGTTTCGACTTTAATCTCGTAATGTTTCGTCTTTAATCTCGTAATGTTTCGTCTTTAATCTCGTAATATTTCGTCTTTAATCTCGTAATGTTTCGTCTTTAATCTCGTAATGTTTCGTCTTTAATCTCGTAATATTTCGTCTTTAATCTCGTAATGTTTCGTCTTTAATCTCGTAATGTTTCGTCTTTAATCTCGTAATATTTCGTCTTTAATCTCGTAATGTTTCGTCTTTAATCTCGTAATGTTTCGTCTTTAATCTCGTAATATTTCGTCTTTAATCTCGTAAAGTTTCGTCTTTAATCTCGAAATGTTTCGACTTTAATCTCGTAATGTTTCGACTTTAATCTCCAAATGTTTCGTCTTTAATCCCGTAATGTTTCGACTTTAATCTCGTAAAGTTTCGTCTTTAATCTCGAAATGTTTCGTCTTTAATCTCGTAAAGTTTCGTCTTTAATCTCGAAATGTTTCGACTTTAATCTCGTAATGTTTCGACTTTAATCTCCAAATGTTTCGTCTTTAATCCCGTAATGTTTCGACTTTAATCTCGTAATGTTTCGTCTTTAATCTCGTAAAGTTTCGTCTTTAATCTCGAAATGTTTCGTCTTTAATCTCGTAATGTTTCGACTTTAATCTCGTAAAGTTTCGACTTTAATCTCCAAAGTTTCATCTTTAATCTCGTAATGTTTCGACTTTAATCTCCAAATGTTTCGACTTTAATCTCGTAATGTTTCGACTTTAATCTCCAAATGTTTCGTCTTTAATCTCGTAAAGTTTCGTCTTTAATCCCGTAATGTTTCGTCTTTAATCTCGTAATGTATCGAATTTAATCTCGTAATGTTTCGACTTTAATCTCGTACTGTTTCGACTTTAATCTCGTAATGTTTCGTCTTTAATCTCGTAATGTTTCGTCTTTAATCTCGTAATGTTTCGTCTTTAATCTCGTAATATTTCCTCTTTAATCCCGTAATGTTTCAACTTTAATCTCCAAATGTTTAGATATTTTTTTTTCGCGGTTCACGGTTTCATAAGAACTTCTAGCCAAAAACAAAAAAACAAAATAAAAACAAAAAGAAATAAACCAGATTAACTACGTCACAGTTTATATATATAGTATATAGAAGCTGTGACGTTAATCTGGTTTATTTCTTTTTTAGTGTGTGTGTATATACACATGTATGTATATATATTTATATATATATTACAAAATTTCTTATTCAAATAAAATCCTGTCACCCAGCATCTCCACCTCTTCCTCTTTCATCCTCATCACCAAAATATATTTTATGTGGACGGATCAATACAAGACAAAGAACATAAAAAATAATGTGTCTTCTGTTCACCGAATGCTTTTTAATCTTCGCTTTTGCTTCAATGCAAATGAACAAGCGCGCCGTTATATGTAGTGACGAGTGTGTTCAGTAAGCCACAGATGAGCAGATTTTAGATCTCAAACCCTGTCCATATCATACGTTAGCGGTCAGGGGTCAGAGGTCATGCTCACCCCAGGGTCATCTCCACCAGAGTGCTGGGACTGAGATACGCCTGCGGTTTGAGTCCTCCGGCCGTCATGGGCATCATCTTCTGAGGCAGCTGCTCCATCAGCTGAAAACACACACACGTTAGCGTCTCTGTGTCGTTACAGCGCGGCTACACGGATTGCACTTCCTGTTTACTCACTTTATACAAGCGCTGCAGGATCAGAGTCACTTCCTGTTCCATGCTGGAGAACTGACCAGTCAGAGACAAGAGGTGCTTACGGACGTGATGGAACTTCCTGCAACGACAACAGCACAGTTACCATGGCAACAGCCAATGAGAGCACTGCGCTCAGCCACGTGTCAGAACACAGCAGGTCACATGACTCACTTCATCCACTCCTCACTCTTGGAGATGAAGAGCCGATACTTCATGGCACACTCGTCCGTGAAGAGCGCCCGCGCTTTAGTGGCGTGCAGAACCAGCTTCTGTCTGAGGAAACACACAGATCTTCAGGTCATCGTGAAACACTCACTCTCACACACACACACATCCACACATTCACTCACTCACACACTCACAAACACACACACACAAACACACACAAACACTCACACACACTCACTTGTCGAACTTGTGGATCTGTTCTTCATTATAGGGCAAACCTGCGGAGACGAGACAGGAATCAGACACTGATGACATGAGAAGTAAAGCGGCTTGTGATGTTCTCTCACACACACACTCACGTCTCTCGGCCTTGTCCTTCTTGAACTGCTGGTAAACGGCGCTGATGGCGTCCAGCAGAACTTTGATCTTCTCCACACTTCACAAACACAACAACACGTCAGTCATGTTCATGCTTACACTTCATTTCACACTGTCTACTTACTATAGTAATAACAGAGCATTATGCATGATTACACACACACACACACACACACATCTGGATCGGGGAGATGTTTTTAGAGAAGTCTCTCCTGCTCACCAACGCTGAGTTTATTTTAATATAACAACAACAAAAAGTAATATTGTTAAATATGATTACAATTTAATATAACTTCTTTAAAAAAAAACATAAATCTTACCGATCCAGAGTGTTTCACCGGGAGTGCGAGTGTGTGTGTGTGTGTGGAGTAACTCACTTCCGGTCTTCCGGATGCGTTCCCACTTGCTGCGTCCAGGTGTCGGTCAGACTCCCGCCGGGCAGGAACATGGTGCTGATGTCCTGCAGCGTCTGCTCCATCGAGCCCAGAGAGCTGGACAGCTGTGTGTGTGTGTGTGTGTGTGAGAGAGAGACGTGATGAAGCGAGCCAGTGCTTACATGAACACGCTTTCAACCTTTAACCCTTGACTCACCCGCATCACCTTCTTCCTCATGTCCCGGATCTCATCGTACTCCGCCGACAGCATGTTTCCCTGCATCATGACCTCACACCTGACACACACACACACTATCTTCATATAGGCCTTATGTAGTAAAGGCCAAGTGTTGACATTTTTTAAAAACGTAATCATCTCTGCATAAACTTCAGAAACGTGAATCCATGGAAACGCTGACGGCGTATAACGTGTTTAGATATACAGACACACACTCACATCTGCTCGGTCCTCTCCAGTGTTTGGCTACAGTAGGTACACGCGTGGATCACCTCCGTCTTCTTGTGTGTCGTCTCGCTGTACTCGTCTCTGATCAGCTCACTGCAACACACACACATCACGAGTATGAGACCAACTCTAAAAACATTTCAGCCGTGGCTTGTTCTCCTCTGACGCACACACTCACTTCAGGCCGCGCACGGCTTTCCTCACGAGCTCCTGGTACAGCAGCAGCGAGTCGGACGTCTTCCACAGATAGCCCACGTCCCCCGCGAACGTCTGCGCACACACACACACACATCTTACAAACATCCGTGAATCATCTCTAGGGTTGGGTATCGAGAATCGAGTATCGATTGGAACCGGGACTAACTTTTCGTTTTTCCCGGAATCGTTCAAAAGTTAAAATTTCGATTCCTAGTTTCGATATTCACAGTCCGCCGAGCCGAAGAAGAAGAAACCGCTGAACAACACCAACGAAGAAGCGTCTACCGGAAGTGTTGGCATAACCACGCCAGTCGAACATGAGTAGCTTACGTCGGCGATCCAAAGTGTGGCTTCACTTTTCTAAAAATAACGAAATCTCGGCAAAATGCAAAATTTGTGACAAAAGGAGTATTTCCTTCAGAAAGGCCGTTGGTTAGCAAGGTTAGCTAAACTTTTTTGACCCTGCCTCTTAAAAGAATCGGAATCGAGAATCGTTAGGAACCGGAATCGAAACAAGGAATCGGAATCGGAATCAGAATCGTTCAAATTCAAACGATACCCAACCCTAATCATCTCACAGGACCTCACACACGCGTCCCGGCTCGGATCACGTCTTGGGGTTTGACCTATGACCTCTCTCGGTCCTGCGCTCTCACCTTGGCGTAGCTAGCGTCCAGGTCCAGGTCGTAGCGCGGCTGCACTTTCGGAGGGCTGGCTGCAAACACAGGGGTCCTCGTTATCAAGGTCAGTTATCAGGTTAAGCCAAGTTCACACTACAGGATTTTAAGCCCGATTTGCAAATCGTTGAGCTCGCCGACTGGTCGGGGTGTTATCGCGTGCAAATCGCGGGGGATTAGCGGACGATGAACGCTTGCCAATCTGTTAGTATGAAAGAGCCAACAACGCAGCGAAAACGCTCGCAGACGCCTCGCCGAGCCCAGAAAAATATCTAGCCCGCTAGATATCCAGAGCCGTCGCGCGACTCGACCTCAGTGACGTCATGAGTACAGCCAATCATAGCAACGCATGGGTTGAGGACACCAGGTAAATCTTAGTTTTTTTTTGCTGTCTGACGTCCATATTCACGTGTTGTGTTCTCTTCTTCGCTGGGTATTGGCGCAATATTTATTTATTTATTGCGTGTTTTTTTGTGACAAAACGTGGTTTGTAGACAAGATAGACTCGTTGGGTGACAAAGTTGTTATTTATTTGATTATTTTCATGATTTAGACCGTACTATAGTACTGAAACAGCTCTCATTGAGTCACAAATGATCTGCTCTTATCATCCGATCGTGGTTGTATCTCTATGTAGTGCGTGTAGTGAGTTACCTCCTGTTGTGGATCAATCACGTTGTGTGGTGTGATGTGAACAGCTAAACAACTTGAACACTCCTGATTTCACTGAGAGCACGTCATGTAGTGTGAACCGCACAGTTCAGCCCGACGTTTTAAAATCATGTAGTGTGAACAAGGCTTTAGGTTACGATGTAACGAGTAACGCGACAGACTCACGGTCCTCGAACACCAGGCCGACGGTGTTGACGGGGTCTCGGCTGAGGAGCATGATGGGATTGTCGCGGGAGGACTTGGGGAAGCTCTGGGCCTGGCGGGTGGGGTCGAACACGAGGCGCCGGCTCTCGTACAGGAACTCCTGATGCGACGGCGCGATGTTGGTCCGCCGGAAGAGCAGCTCCTGGAACAGGTTCGCCCTGGAGAACAGAGGCACAATTATAGCTCACACAAGTGTTGTAGGTGTGTGTAGATCAGTGTTGGGTAAGCTACTCTAAAAAAGTAATTAATTACTAGTTACTAATTACCTCTTCAACAGTGTAATTAGATTACTGTACTAATTACTCTCTCTAAAAAAGTATTTAATTAATTTTAATTACTTTCAAAATCCCATAATCAATCTCAACCAGCTGAATAATACAAGGATAGGCATGAATCGGTTTTAATTCTTTCAAATAAATACTATAATATTGCATGAATTATCCTTAAACTGACCAAGGTGGAGAAGGTTACATTATAAAAACATACTTTTTAACATCAGACAATATATTTCGATGTTAAACCCACTATTGTTTTATGTCTAATCTCATTACATTTCACACTTTTCCATAGATATTTTACAATAATTCATACGAATTTGTACAAGTGCGGTCGTACGATTTATACACCTCATAAAATGCATACGAATCGCTGTGAGATCGGATTGATCCATACGCAGTATTTACCTCAATTACATCAGAAGTAACTGTAATTAAATTACAGATAAATGAAGAGTTATCCCTTACTTTACATTTTCAAGGGAAAAGTAATGAAATTATAGTAACTAATTACTTAGTAATGTAGATGTGGTGTAGCGTGTGCTCACGTGTTGTAGGTGTGTATGTAGATGTGGTGTAGCGTGGCCTGCTGGAGGCTGAACACGTAGACCACGATGCGGTGTAAGATGTCGCTGGTCTCGGCGAAGAACTGGTCGAATCCCCAACACTTCTCCTGATCCGCCTCCAGGATGTTGGCCAGCACTGGCGTGAGGAGACTCTGAAGACCCCTGAAACACACACACACCGTCACACACGTGCACCTCCACACCACGAGCTGCTGTCACACACACACACACACACACTTGGAGAGGCTGCAGGAGATCGGCATCTCGGAGCTCCACTCGATCTTCCCGTTCTCGAACTTCTGATGGCCTGAGATCGCGCCCGGCGGCTTCTCCGTGATGATCTTATACCTGTGACACACACACAAACAGGTCACCAAACGCGCCGGACAAACACACTAAACATCCAGGAATCAGATACTTGTTATAATATGTAAATGTGGATTCCTGTGTGTATCTCAGCATGAGTGTGAAGCGCTGGAGCGAGAGTGTGTGTGCTGTGCTTTTAAAGGGACAGCGCTCATATTCCTCCGTCTCTATAATAACTCCGATCACACAACAGGACACTGAGAACACACACTCGCTCTTCACTGAATAACTGTGCCTACATCTCTAATGTATATTTGATGGATAAACTGCAGCTACTCTACATTTGAGGAGTTCCTGAACCTGAAAGTCTGAAAAAACTCTTTATTTCAGTCGTATCTTTGTTCTATCTTTTGTTGCGATTGCTAGTTTTGTAAGTGTTCATGTTTAATGACTGAGTGTTTGTTGTGTTTAATAATGCTGAAGTGTGTATTAGTTGGGCTGTTTGTTCTTCTGTGGTTTTTAACCCCTCAGGCAAACGCAGTGTGTGTAAGAGTTCTTCTGCTCATGATGTTCACACACAGTCACATGTTCTGCTTAAGACTAAATGTGAGTGATGTTTGTTTACCTTACTGGAAATGAAATTAGAAATCGATAAGCAGAATTGTAATGTTTAAAGGGTTAGTTCACCCAAAAATGAAAATTCTGTCAGTATTTACTCGCCCTCATGTTGTTCCAACCCCGTAAGACCTTCGTTCATCTTCGCAACACAAATTAAGATATTTAAGATATTAAGATCGCTCCTGCATACAGTCCATAGGCTTCTTGAGGGAATGACGCTTGCTGGCCTCGAAAAGTCATTAAAGACATCGTTAAAATAGTCCAAGTGACTACAGGGGCTCAATCTTAACTTTATCAAACGACGAGAACACTATTGTGCGCAAAAACAACAAAAATAACGACTTTATTTCAACTATTGGTTTATTTCTCCCTCTGCCTCGAGTCAGGTTACTAGTTTAATAGCGTAAGCTTCTGTTATTGTACGTCACACGCATCACACACATGACCAGCGTCGGCCAATAGTGAGCCTTCGTGTGACGTAGCTCTACGCAATCACACTACGTTAACTGACTACAGGCTCATGGAGAAGGAAGTGAATAGTTGAAATAAAGTCGTTATTTTTGTTGTTTTTTGCGCACAAAAGTGTTCTCGTCGTTTGATAAAGTTAAGATTGAGCCCCTGTAGTCACTTGGACTATTTTAAACGATGTCTTTAATGACTTTTCGATGCTAGCAAGAGTCATTCCCTCAAGAAGCCTATGGACTAGTATGCAGGAGCGATCTTAATATCTTAAATATCTTAATTTGTGTTGCGAAGATGAACGAAGGTCTTACGGGGTTGAAACAACATGAGGGTGAGTAAATACTGACAGAATTTTCATTTTTGGGTGAACTAACCCTTTAAAACTCAAAGCCCTAGTGTGTGTGTGTGTGAGACAAGTTAGTGTGATGCAGGTATGTGTGACGGCACCCACATGACTTCTTTGTTCCTGCGCGGGCCCTCGAAGGGTCTGAACGGCAGGCAGCCGGTGGCGGCGTGATAGAAGGTGACGCCGATGCTCCACAGATCCACCGTGGCGCCGTACTTCTTCTGGTGATCTTTCCTCAGGACCGCTCGCTCGTACATGTCAGGATGCTGCACACACACACACACAAAGGTCAGTACATGTTCCTCACACACACACACACACAGATCATTAAGAGAATAGCGCGGCCTGTTAGACCAGCGCCGGGAGCGCGTCCGTTTGTCAGAAGTGGATCGGGACCCTCCGAGCGGAGATCCTTCAATACGGCTCATGTTGTTTTTTGTTTGTGAAATGTTACAAAATTAAGAAATAAATCTATTTTTTAAATGGGGTTAGTGTTTTCCCATCATGCTCCGCTCACCAGATACTCCTCGGTGCCGTAGAGAGAGACGAACTGCTCGTCGTCCTCCAGTTCGCGGGCGGCTCCGAAGTCTGTGAGTTTGTACACGGACCGGCCGTCCTCTCCGATCACACGCATGATGTTCCCCGGCTTGATGTCTCGGTGCACGATGCCGTACTCCCGCAGATGGTTCATTCCCGCCACTGTCACATGACAAGGGGGAGGGGGGGCAGTCGCTCATTATCATTTAAAGAGACATGCACCTCATTATCATTTAAAGAGACATGCACCTCATTATCATTTAAAGAGACATGCACCTCATTATCATTTAAAGAGACATGCACCTCATTATCATTTAAAGAGACATGCACCTCATTATCATTTAAAGAGACATGCACCTCATTATCATTTAAAGAGACATGCACCTCATTATCATTTAAAGAGACATGCACCTCATTATCATTTGAAGAGACATGCACCTCATTATCATTTAAAGAGACATGCACCGGAATGGGTCGCTGTGAACAGAGCTGTGTTTGAGGTGGTAAAGAGTGTGTTGTTTACACAACCATTTGAGGAATTTTAACCAAAATATGGTACATACTTTACACTAAGACCCTAAAGAATCACACCAACGTGTGGAAAATGGGCATATGACGCCCCCTCTGAGTCTCACACTCGACCCTTCAGGTGCTGCATGTGGTCTCGGCTCGTCCCGTGTGTGTGCAGAACTCACCCACGTCCTGCAGAACGATGAGGAACTCGTCCTCCGGGAGCCCGTATGCGTTGGTCGGCTCCTCCAGAACCGTGTACAGGCTCCCGCACGGGCAGTACTCCATCACCAACACCTTGTGACGCGTGTTCGACTGGCAAACAACATCAGCGTTCACAATCACAACAGAACAGGGACGTTTGGTGCTCTTAGAGAACCGGTATTACAGCTTACACACACACACATACACACGAGGAAGTAAATCAGGGAAGAGTTTAGCAGTGACTGTGTTTAACTTCAGAATTAAAACGTCTCCCTCACATCATCTGAGATGTTCATGTCTTTCTTTCTTCTGTCGAAAAGAAATGAAGGTTTTTGAGGAACACACTTTAGGGTTTCTCCATATAGTGTCTTCAATGGGGTCCAACGGGTCGAAAGTCCAGATGTGAGTTTCAGTGCAGCTTCAAAGTCTCGACACGATCCAGCCGAGACAAACCAGCGACATTTACAACAAAATACACATTTATATACTTTAACCACTAATGCTGGCCTTGCACTCACTGTGATGCGACACACATTACACAATCAGGGTGAAAGGTCAAGTGTGATGTAGGCGGAAGAACAGACCCAGTGTTTACAGAGCGAACACGCAACGACTGAGTCAAACGCCATTTACAAAATTAAATAAAAGGTAAATCAACGATGTTGGACGATTTTGAAGTTGAAGAAGAAAAGGTGACGGAGTTATTCGCTCTACTCTAAATTTGTGAACCGGAACACGCTTGACCTTTCACCCTGATCGCGTAATGTGTGTCGCATCACAGCAAGTGCAAGACCAGCATTATTTTGTTCTAAATGTCGGCTGGTTTGTCTAGATCAGACTCTTATTCCTCGGCTGGATCGTGTCGAGACTTTGAAGCTGCAGTGAGACTCACATCTGGACCCCATTGGAGACACTATATGGAGAAACCCTGGAGTGTGTTCCTCAAAAACCTTCATTTCTTTTCAACAGAAGAAAGAAAGACATGAACATCTTGGATGATGTGAGGAAGAGTAAATCATCAGGAGATTTTAATTCTGAGGTGGAACTCGATGTGGCCTCACCTCCTCCTCGACGGCGAACAGCTTCACGATGTTCTTGTGATTGAGCTTCTTCAGCACCTCGAACTCCCTCATCTGGACATCCAGCGGCCGCAGAAAGCTCAGGTTATTAAACACTTTGACCGCGTACAGATCGCCCGTTTTCTACAGAGAGTTGCACATAAAGTTCACATCACTCTCAGAGTTCAGAAACAAGCGCTGAGGAATCAAACGATTCACTGACTCGAATCAAAATCCCTGTGTGGGAGATTCAAAAGTTCATCAGATTCCCAGCTAACAGCATCATCCAGTTTTATAAATGTGTACAAGTGTTTCTTCTCGGTTCTGTGAACGTTACGGGAACAGTGACACTGTATCGTTCTTCACACATTATGGAATGTTACTTTTGAATCTGAATGTTCTGAAACCAGAAACATTTAAAAACCGTTACATTTAAAAACAAACATTCTATTATTGTCAGTGGAAGAACGTTTGTTCTCTGGGTTCTGATGTGAGGTGATTTAAACACTGATGAACGACTGCATCGGATGAACGAAGCATTTATTCTCATTATTCAGAACTGCAGTTGAGACGATGGAGTGTACCTTGTGCCGGCCGCGGTACACGTTGGCCGTGGCGCCCTGACCCAGCAGGTCCGACATCATCCACAGGTAGTTCGCCGTACTCTGCATGATGACTGTAGATTCACCTGAAACACATAAGCATATTCATGAGGAAGTCTCACCATGACAATAACTGAAATAGTCATTTTCCAGTTATTACCCAGATCACATTATCACAGTTTATTCGCTATAGTTTATAAAGTGATTGTAAACACATAAGAGGGTAAACATGAGCAGAACTCAGTTCTCAGATCAGTGGATATTTGACTGGTTTTGTCCGTCCTTCTGTTGGACTCTCACACATGATTTATGCTGAATATCTGTCAGCCGTTAAATTGAACAACACAATTAGATAATACCAGTTTAGCTCAACCAGTGACCAAGCAATGCTTCATGTTGTTCAGTGTGTGTGTAAAAAAAGCATTAGCAATTACACACTTAAAACACACTTCAGCAGAACATAATTTCTGGTCCCAAATGTCACTGGTAGTCGCTGTATGAAGAATATTTGTGTGTAATATATCAGAGTTTACTTTATTTTGCTCTCCTCGCTTACATAATGAGCAATCATGTCCTGATCACACGAGTGAAACTAAAATACCACAAATTATAGGTTATCTGGTGTCTGAATAATGTTTGTTTTGACTGTGTTTCCTGAATGCAATGGCAGACCAGCGGTTTCGTTTCGTAAAACTTTAGCTCTCATTTCGTTGGAACTATAACATCGCGTATGTTTAAGCGTGTAATGACGAGATATTGCGAAATCCGCTGCGGGAATGTTTTTGGCTGTGACGTCACAGACCTGCGGGAATTTCCCGCATCAGCGCGTGATTCTGTCGCCTTTTTAGCGTGAAACTAAACTAAAAATGTCAAATTAGACGTAAAAGGAGAAGCAAGAGAGAATCGTAAGGTTTATATAATCTATACGGATCGTTACGACACCGAATCATGTGAAACTGAAAGTACGTTGAATATCCTGAGAGAATAAAGCGGTATATTATCGTGCTGTGACGTTAGATGTGATTAAACCGATAGAGGAATATCCCGCACCGAACACAAGCATGCTTTCATTATATTAAATAAAATAATAAATACACATCACATCCGTCTAAACATTGCGTTGTTCCGTCTAACATTAGAGTAAGACAGTAAACACACATATAATAATGATGACATACGAGATGTGCGATGGTTATATGATGTATTTAATGTCAGTGTTAATGTTTATATGTTCTCACCTCGAGAGCACGACCGTCTCTTCCGTTTTCCGTGTTTTCATCACATGAGAGACACCGGGCTGTGTCACAATCACACCCTGCGCACTCGCTCGTACTGCGGCTGTAGTGTAGGTGCTGTGGGGATGTAGGGTTGTTTTGTACACTACGCATTCATCGATATATTAATAGTCCACTCCAAGCTAATGAAACGACGTGTATCGCTACACAGTGCACAGCTTCACGTAGCCTACTGTTTTGTTTTGTATACAATGTACACTACGTAGTATGCAGGTGTTCCATTGCGCACACACAGCCGTAAATATCATATTAGAGGAGAACGAAAAACTACAACATGGATATGCGATATTTTTTGGTTCTTCAAAACCTTTTACTTTTGTTTTATTTTAAGATTATAACACCAGACGTCCTTTCACAGACATGTTGTTGTTTCACAAGTGGTTTGGATTATTTTGTTATATTTTGTGTGCAAGTGTGATGGTTTATCGGTAGAGGGCGCTGCTCAGAAGAGAAGTGAATGTCTAAACATGTGTACATATACACAACGAATATGACTATACCATAAATATAAAGTGAGTCACCATTGTAACATCAATATTTTCATCCTTATACTCCATAATAAACCGTGATAATAAATCATCATAAACCATATACATTCGCATCGTCTTGTGATTATCACGCGAGTTGTTCACGCTGTTTCAGCGTGAGCAGAGTGGCGCAGCGGAAGCGTGCTGGGCCCATAACCCAGAGGTCGATGGATCGAAACCATCCTCTGCTAAATTTTTACTTTTATATTGTATTACAAAGATGACATTACCACCAAGTATTAAGCACCAACTCAAACTAGAACCATAATAATGTTTTTAATGAGGTAACACTGGGGTATGGGATAAAAAACAGCCGAATGTCTTGCGACCATGGATCAATAATAAGCGTGATTCAAAACTGTAAAAACACACCTTACCCCAACTACGAGCGTCAATCTCCGAGACGCACAACAGTGTTTCAGCAAACAATCCCCGATTTGAACGAGACGTTAGAATTAATGACTCACTCACTTACTCATAAAGACACCACATAGCCTACTGTCCGTTTGACTTTCATATTTATGTATAAGGGCAGTGTCGGTCCTGCGTAGAGTTTAGTCAAACACACCTGAGCTATCAGCATCTTTACGAGTCTTTACTGTTGAGCTCCAGAAACGACGTTCCCTGATCTTTTCATAATTCTCAAGTTAAAAATGTAAGCTATATAAAAAATATTATTCCTAAAGTAATATGCAAATATGTAGCTAAATAAACAAAAAGTAGGCTGATAAATCATTGCATATCAAATCCACCTGATTTCTGTACACAATCATTTTCATTAATCTTTTGTCATATGGTAACAACAATATGGTAACAGGATGTTTCTTAGAGCTGCCATTATACATTACGAGCTAAGTAGCCTAATATTGTTTAACACCATACCAGTGTGCATTTAATATAAGCTGGCTATCTCTGTATATGTCCAGAGTTCAGATAGCTTTTCTGCTTAAATAAGGGTTAGTTCACCCATAAATGAAAATACATTTCAATCCCATACATACTGTTTTACTTCATTAAAAACATTATTATGGTTCTAGTTCGTATTGTAGCACTATAAACTGTTAAACAGTGATTACTATGTTTATATGTTGTTTTTATTATATGTTTTATATTTGCTGTAAGGTGTTATATTTGTTTGTTTGTAATGTTGCCAGAACTTTCTAAGAACGTTTGCTGTAGGAAGGGGAACTCTGTAGAATAAGTTGCTATGTAAAATATTATGAGGAAACAGGCCTTATGAAGGTGTTTAAAGAGAGGAGTGTCACACACTCTGAAATACCCAAATTATAAATCAACTCCAGTGTTTGAAATGAATATGGTTTCATATTTCCAGCCGGTGTTGTGAATGTTGATAATATGTGTGTTTGTCCTTTGCTTTATTTGGAATAATCATTATTATGGTAATAAATAGCCTACAGATAGATTGGTGTGTAGCTATATGTTAAAACTCTGTGGTATCAAATGTTCATAATCTATTTTGTTACACGGTTAATTTGTACAATTAATTGAATTTGTACTTTAAAATTTAAGTTATGTTATAATATTTTTATTATTTTGATATCTTTATAATTATTCTATGTATTCCAAGCTTTGGCAATAGTGTTATGTAGGCCTACAGTCATGCCAATAATGCCATTTTGAATTTGAATTTAGATTGAATTTAGACATTTAGATAAATAGATAGAGTCCTCCTGTGACTTTAATTTGAATGGCAGGTTCACCTGCGCGCTCAGGTGAGATTACGCGTGTGCGCGCGTGGAGGCGCTGGCGGGTCGCGCGCTGCGCGTGTGTGAGGCGGAGCGCGAGTAAAACTCAACCAAGCGATTGTTCATTTTGTCATTAAACTGAAAAACTCTCTGACAGTCACTCGACGAGCCGTGTGTGTTTGTGCTTCTGTCATGCGGTGAAGCGAGGAGAAACACAGAAACAGGTGAGCGTGTTACACACACAAACACAGTCACACACACTTGTATTTGTAAATTGTAGATTTTGTATGTAACGTTACTGGCGGTGTTTTTACATTTATTCCCTTTAAACGGCTCGTTCGTCCTCATGGCTGTGTTTTTGTGTATGTTATTATGTTTATTTTGTTGTGTGCTGATCACGGTCATGTTCCGTTTGCTGGTTTAATGGGCGCGCGCGGTAAATACTGTCTTGGTTGCCATGGCAGAGCCTGTCACGCGCAGGTACCAGCACGCGCCTCAATTCAGGCATTAATACATCACTGCAGTTGTGTTTATTCCCGCTGAGATCAGACTACATTAATACATCACTGCAGTTGTGTTTATATCACTGCTGAGATCAGACTACATTAATACATCACTGCAGTTGTGTTTATCACTGCTGAGATCAGACTACATTAATATATCACTGCAGTTGTGTTTATATCACCGCTGAGATCAGACTACATTAATACATCACTGCAGTTGTGTTTATATCACTGCTGAGATCAGACTACATTATTATATCACTGCAGTTGTGTTTATCACTGCGGAGATCAGACTACATTAATACATCATTGCAGTTGTGTTTATATCACCGCTGAGATCAGACTACATTAATACATCACAGTAGTTGTGTTTATATCACCGCTGAGATCAGACTACATTAATATATCACTGCAGTTGTGTTTATATCACCGCTGAGATCAGACTACATTAATATATCACTGCAGTTGTGTTTATATCACTGCTGAGATCAGACTACATTAATACATCACTGCAGTTGTGTTTATCACTGCTGAGATCAGACTACATTAATATATCACTGCAGTTGTGTTTATATCACCGCTGAGATCAGACTACATTAATACATCACTGCAGTTGTGTTTATATCACTGCTGAGATCAGACTACATTATTATATCACTGCAGTTGTGTTTATCACTGCTGAGATCAGACTACATTAATACATCATTGCAGTTGTGTTTATATCACCGCTGAGATCAGACTACATTAATACATCACAGTAGTTGTGTTTATATCACCGCTGAGATCAGACTACATTAATATATCACTGCAGTTGTGTTTATATCACCGCTGAGATCAGACTACATTAATATATCACTGCAGTTGTGTTTATATCACCGCTGAGATCAGACTACATTAATACATCACAGTAGTTGTGTTTATATCACCGCTGAGATCAGACTACATTAATATATCACTGCAGTTGTGTTTATATCACCACTGAGATCAGACTACATTAATACATCATTGCAGTTGTGTTTATTCCCGCTGAGATCAGAC